TACATAAACAAGTAAAATTTATACGATTCACAATGGAAATACACACATTTCTCTATTACTGTACAATTAAAAAAAGCTAAACAAAATTACATCGAACGAATCTAAAAATTATACTAATTGGGATAAGCTTAAGAATAAGATTAAGATTAAGATTAGATTAAGATTAAAATTAAGATTAAGATTAAGATTAAGATTAAGATTATATACATATAACGAAGATAGAAATTCTCTCAAGGCTAGGACCGTTGCCATGTCATAATGAGCCATTTCGTTTGGAATAGTTTTTATTTTCAATTAATAACAACAACATTTAAATTACATTACGATCGACTAGCGTGAGGTATTCTCTTGTTCCTCTCTTTCTATTTGGTATGATCGTACAATAACAGATAACTGCACTAACTGCACAAGTCCGACAATGTCCCAAATCGTTCGACACTTGATGCGCGTTTATACATTCGGCGCATCGGTAAGAGCACGAGCGACTTCATCGGACTGAAGAACGACGAAACTACACGACAGAAAAAGACAGAAATTCACACCTACAGACAAACTCTATCTACACGAATATAGATATTTACAACAATCTTAAATTAGTGGTAACTTAATGAACGAGCCGAAACTAGGGAACACGCGCGTTAAAATAAAAGTCAGAAAAGAGTCAAGTAGAAATGAAGTATACAGGGTGTGCCGGAAGTCAGATCCTTTCTCATAATTATAAATCGCTCAACAAATTTGGATCTTCTCTAAAATTTTACTTCAGCCATCACATTTCACTTATTTATTTTTAGCCATCGATATTACATGTTCTAATATTAAAATTTTGTTATAGAGATGACAATTAATTGTTTTAACAACGTTGAATAAATTTACAATGATAATTTAAACAAAAAAAAAAAAATTGTAAAAATAGCTTTTGGAAATGCTGAATTCATCAATATTAGATATTGAGAAGTCGTCGTTATCCTTCTCAATGAATTTTCTCCACGCGTGGAAGATTAATTCCAAGTTCATCGAGCGATTTGAATATGAGAGAAATCATGAATAGTTCCGCATACACCCTATACGTGAGAGATACGTGGGTGGTCTACGGGTAGCATATACAGCAGTATCTTTTCCTAGATTAAGAGAAAAAGAAATCTGGGGACCATTCGCGGGTCGCCGGTGGCATCGAAGGGGAAGGGAAGGTGGCGCGGCTAACTGGCCAGAAGATATGTGTCTTTCCTACACTCTTCGCCCTTATCTGATCTAAATTTCTAATTTTACGGGAAACGAAAAGATAACTGGCGACCGTGGAGACTCGATTAACACCGTCGATATACACGACCAGGCACGGTAACATCGCACTCTCCCGGCACAGATCGTTGTCTCGTCGAGGAGCGATCAATTATCTCGACGCCTCGTGGCCGAATCGAGAATGCACTTTAGAAACTGAATACCGCACGCTTTTTTGAGAGCCGGTAAAAAAAATCTTCGGAAACGGACAGAAAACTCTCTTCCCGCGTGACACAATTGTAATTAATTCTGTATCGTCTCTCTCACGTTTCTGCGGCCTTTATCTAACGCCAGACGCGTCGCGCGTCTAATGAGAGAAATTATTTATTACGATACAAATTTATTACGAAATTTTGGATTTGGCATAAACTATGCCGTACGAGCGTCTCAATCTATGAACACGTCGCTTTCGGTCTCGAATGATCTCGTTCTCGTTCGTTCTTAAGCGAGATTTCGTGCAGCGCTCGCAGCGTGTTGAAGCAACAAGCATTCAGATTTCTCCTGATATACGACGAGAATAAATTATGTTGACAAAGATCGGAGATTATCGGAATATCCTCGACACGGCAACAATCGCACACGCCGGGTCTGTGCGATGCCAATACCTAATACGGAAAAGTGAAATAAAGTGAATGTAACCGGCAGCAGCATGGTAAATCAAAGAGGAAAGTAATTGAAATGCGTGATAAGTTCGACTCGACGCGCAGGGAATACTCTTTTCGTGTAAAATATGAGCTTACTAGCATCTAAGAGTACGTATAACGTATACCGAAAAACATACACAGAATATCCCATTTATCACAAACACTTCGAACACTTCCGTTGTTTAAATGATAAAATATTTCAACTCGATGAAATGAAGCTCTTTGCCTGAGATATTTTGTCATGTCCTCGAAAGCACTGAAGATACTAAAGATATTTGTGAGACATCGTGCACACAAATGTATATGCAATTCTTATAATCAAAACATGAATATTCATAAGACTTAATCTTATAAATAATAATATAAATAATATAATAATTATATCTACATCTACGATAATGTAATATAAATATAATGCTATAATTGCATATTTATATAATATAATATAAATATTAATTTTATGTGTGTA